CACACTTAGGCCCTCAGCATCTAGCCATCATTAGTAATGATTTCAGTTAACTGGAGAACAGGAGGGATGGATTTAGCCCTGCCTCCTTTGAAGGCAACAGCATTCACATGTTGGTGTACTGCCATCTAGTGAACCACATGAAAGTTACACGAGGAGGGACCCGCCCGCCGAGAGAGGTATCCTGGAGCAGTTTAAAACTGCAAAGGCTACTCCAGAGCATCACCAAGTTCCAACTGCTGCGGGGAACACAACAGAGAACAGGATGGGTTTCAACTACAAAGCTAATTAGAAGAGAACAACACAGTAAACTACCAGCTCCTCTCTCAGGAACTCTCAAGATCTTTACAGGGGCCATTCATTGATTGGGACTGAGCTCTGCACTAAACTTCAAAAGAAAAGAAATCAAATCAGAGTGCCTCATGTCAAAGTGCCACACCACCAAGCCAAAAACATAGCTCTGACCCTCTGAGAACTCCGGAGAGAGTTGAGCGATCCCTCCAGGCAGCAGGCATTTGCTTTACAACCAATCTCCTTCCTTCCTGTTCTCCTCAGCATTTTTCTCCTATCGAGTGTTCCACGGGCTTGTGTTAGCAGCAGAGTGCACTGGACCTCATCGTGAAGGCTGCCCAGTCCATTTGCTCACGACGCTGTGTGTGTTGTCCACTTTTTACCATTGCTACCTTGTTTTAAGAAAACTGAAAACTAGGATTCGCCTCTTTCCCCATAACTGACTGCTTCGCTCCATTTGGAGCCTCTGTGCCTTGTTCCGGGTTAGATGGGAACCCAAGGGGAGCCACTCACCTAGGGGCTGGATTTCCCCAGCTCTGGCCTTTAGCCATCTGAGGGATGGTTTCCCATTCTGCTTACACGACCACCAACAGTGGTCCCTGTGGCTCCTCTCATTTAATCCTCATGAACGATCCCCAGCAGGCGTAAATACACAAGACTCAACCTCCTGCCTCTCTGTAGTCATCGATGATTTTCCGAGTCTCACTTAGGATGGAGATGTGGATCCAGTCTTCGCGATGGCATTTAACTAAACACAACACCCCCGCTTGCTAAGAATGCTGAGGGGAGGGAACAACTGATGAGACACAGGCTAGGGAAAGCACGAGGTTAGTTACGTCTCAAGCTAACCCCATGGCAGAGGCACAGGCGCCACACTCCATCAAGATGAACACAGGACTCCGGAGTCACCGCAGCTCAGTGCTGTCAGCAGGGACACCGCCGGCCTCTTCTGCTGCTGATTCCAATCATTGCCCTTCCCGTTTTACCCTCGCCAGTCTATCAACTATCAACTCCATTGATCCACTGAGCCGGGTTCCATTGTCTTGACTATCAACTCCATCGATCCACTGAGCCGGGTTCCATTGTCTTGACTGTCACCTCCATCGATCCACTGAGCCGGGTTCCATTGTCTTGACTGTTTTTCTGTCCTTCATGGAAGCACACTGCTATCAGTACTTTCTCTGCGTCTTGGTTTGCTAAGGCCCTCTCTCTTCGAGTCTAATCCTCCTGCGGCTTTTCCCCTCACTGGTCATTTAGCAGAATGTGTTTTAATTCCCACACCCATGAATTTCCTCCCATTTTACTCCACTATGATCCGAGGAGGGCTCCAGGAATCAGTTTTGCTCAGGTTGGACGCCCTCAGAGAGCACGGGCCGTTCTGGGCCAAGATGTTCATTTTAACCTAGAAGGCAGGAAGAACCGAGCGAGCACTCTAAAGCTGTGACTGTGCTACACCAGCATCAGTCATGAGCTAGGAGCGGGGCTGTCCAGTCACCGTTGGCGGTTTGCATAGCGCCCTGGCTCCACGCTCTTTGAGTAGGGGCTGTTCTTCTCATCTTACTCCATCAGTGACAAGGTAGCCTTGTCAAGGGCTGACGGTCTACAAAGTGGCGTAGTGTCAAAATGAGACTCGGCAGTTCAGCTGTTAGGGCCGGGTCAGCTTCAGCTCCTCTCATTATAAACAGGAGTTCATGTATATAAATACTCTGAAGTTAGGATGCATAATTCATTGTTGTACAAAACTGTCCTACAGGCAATTAGCATCTGCAGCTTACCCTGTCCAGGGGGCACCATCTCCTGAGAACCACTGCAGGGTCCAAATCCAACTCCTCAACCAGGTCAAAGCAGAGGTTTGCACACGAAGAGGGAAGCAGCCTTCACGTCACAGAACCATCTAACCAGCTGGGACTCAAATGAATTAACTACGCCCCTTTAAAAAAAAAATGGTCAGGATAAAAGGCTATTTGGACTTTTCGTTATAGGAACAACGCTAAGGGCCACGAATTATCAGACATCTTCTACATAAAGATCCACAGGAGGAATATGGCCACATGTCGCCGCTGCTACCCTGGCTCCTTATTAACAGATCTCTCATTAAGGGCGCTGGTACGCCTATGAAATGACTGTTTTCCCAGACTGCCTTGCAACTGGCTGACAGACACCATGTTTATCAAGTAGAAGCCAAGTCAGCAGTGATTTCTGAGCCCTCTTTTCAATAGGACTGGAATCCTCTTTCCAAACTTAAAAACAAGTGTCATTTTTCAGCAGTAACAGTGGCCTTATGGCTGTCAGCAAAGCATGGGGACGGTGCCCCTAGGAGGGAAGAAATTACATGTGATGCCCTCCTCTAAAAAGCACTGGGGAGATGTGTCTTCTTCCTTTCTTACTAAGGACATAATAATGATTTTTAAGGAGTGTTTCTCATTTCTCACAAGAAAATATTAAAATCTGGGCTTTACTCTGAAATGACCACTTTAACAGACCATCATCAGTGTCCTCCTCGAAGCTCAGGATAAACTCTGCTTTCTCTCCCTTCCAAACAACCCTGGAAGCCGTTTGAAAACTGCGGAGAGGGCTGACAGGTGGCCTGAGACCCTCCAGCCCAGCTTTCACGGGAGCCACTCTGCTTTATTAATGCCACCAGGCTTCGATACAGGGAGAGTCCCATGAGTGTGAGGCTCTGAAATCATTACACTATGCCAAAGTTAGCTCAGCTGTATCTGACCTGCAAGTATATGCAATTTGGTTTCATATGTGGTTTTCTCCCTTTTAAATTTAATGTATATGTATTTAAAGGTCAGATTTCATAGAAATTCCCCATTTCTTTTAAAAACCTGAAAGGCCTGGCAGCATGGCCCCACCCCTGTGAATAACAACCAACGGCTGGAGATGCAAAGCTTCTTATCCCCTTAGATGGGACCTGGTCGGTCTCAGCCATGAAAAACTTTGTGGCTCCACCTGAACAGTGGCCTTGCACTAAGGGACAAAGAGTTCAACTTTTTTTTTTTTTCTTTTTTGATAGGAAATAACATCAAGCAATGAAAAGGTTACTGAGCTGAGACTTTCTAGAAAATGTTTTCTGGGGCCAGGAAGTCGGTTGAGTGGGTAGAGGTGCTTACTGCAAATCTGAAAGGCCTGAATTTGATCCACAGGACACACAGGGAGGAAGGAGAGAACCAACTCCACAGGTGTGCACGCCAACACCAAATAACAGAATAATGAGCATTTTTAAGGTCTCCTGGCTACAGCTTCTTAGTTGTGCCACTGTGCTGGTGAAGCAGGCTGCTCTGCCATGCAGTATTTGCCAATTAACCAGGAAGCCCATGGGTTCATTCTCCACAGTTTTATTTCTCACTTGCAATCTGGCCCAACTGGACCAGGCAGAGGGACTGTGTTGCCCACATCTCCAGAGCTGCCTGAGGCCCCACCACCTTGACTACTACTAGGTGCCACAATAAGGAACAAAAGACAGGAAACTCAGTCACATCCCGCACTCACTCTCACCCCAATTTCATTAGCCACAATGACATGACCTCACTAATTAAGGGGCCCAGGAAACAACACATGGAGAACTGGGTGAGTACTGTGTCTCTACAAGCAACCTCCAGGGGATTATTTTACTCTGCTTACCCTTGGCTGTGAATTTTTAAGTTACATGGCACATAATGGTCTGTCCTCCCTCTTGGGGTGGTGGGAAAAACAAGTGAAAGAATTCATGAAGAACATCACTAAACACTTGAGAGTGCAAGGTTCAAATGACTGCAGGACGTACACTGTGGTGCAGTCAATGTGCCTTCACGTCGACGCACACACCCATCCCTTTATTCACGTGTGAGTCAAAGAGCAGACACGGGGGCTGAGGGACACGCAATGATTTCATTCCTCCTGCACCGTCTACTCCATTCAGCGGGACCTAGCTGATGGGTAAGATACAAAGAAAACACCCTTACCCGCAGTCTCTCCCAGGCCATTTCTCAACTGTGATGCGATTAAGGACAGCAGTTTGTTAAGCATGCTGTGTACATAAGCCCAATAAACTCACTGGCTCACCACACTGGATTCTGGTGGAATCACCCTTTAGTTTGTCATTGGGGTCTTCTAAGGAGGAGGCAGACATCTGCTTCCATCTTCCGAAATTCTCAAAACATCAGACAGACGGATGAAAATGAGGAGAGGATGAAGGTGTTCACACCCTTTCCTTTTTCACCCTTTGTCCTGTGTTCACTGGACCTAACCTGGTCCCATGGCCGCACCAAGTCTCACTGATGAAACTTAGGAATCGTTTGCCATGCTCCAGCTGGGAAGGGAGAAAATTAAAGACGGGCAAGTGGTAGAGCCTGCCATGTGCATTGTCCAAAAGTAAATCCATACTTGTTTAGAATTCCAGGCTCAACAACAGCATGTTACCCTAACAGATCCAGTCAGCCTCCCAATCCCCTGATCAAGTACAAATCTATCTTTAGTAAGTACCAGCTGCCTCATCAGGTGGCGTAACAGATGGAGGGAAGCCGAATGGCCAACAAGCACTCAATGAACGCATCCAAAGGAAGCAGCAGCCTTTGAAGTAAGCATTTCTTCCCCAAACAGCCTTGTCCTGCTCTAGAGTCTACAGACGCTCCTGTGGTAAGGTCTTCCTAAGCAAGTCAACAGCCGAAGGTCATTTTCCTCAAAGATGTCACAAATGCCGTGATTAAACAGGACCACACATCTAATGCTTTGTAAACTGCAGTTTTATATAAATATAAAGTTATGCACCTGCCAAGCTACAGTCTAATAAAGACCCTTATTCAATAAACAAGACATTTTAAAAATGTCAACAATGGACAAATGTATTCACAACATAATCTAAAGATTCCAACAAAATTTACAGTAGCTACAAAAGAATTCAGCTGCCTACAATAGTTTACATTTGGTTTAGTCTATAGAATATTGCTTTGTCTTAGGAAATATTCTTAATACAAATGTGTGATTTACAATATCCCCATTATAATAAGAAAAAAATAGATTCATACAATGTTTCATAGGCATTTATTATGCCAAGTGGTTAAACAATTACTCCCATTATTACATAAGAATAATATTCTTATTAAAAGGTAATATTTCATTAACCTAACAACCACTAAGAGATTTTAGATGGTTCCAGAGTGACTTATGGCCACAAAAGAAACACAGCAGCAGCAGCCCCTGGGTGTCCACCACATAGCTACAAATATCCACTTATGTCAAATGGACCTTGAATAAATGACTTATTACCAAGTAAAAACAATTTTAGAAATCAGTTAACACAACTGTCCTAATTTGGCTTTTACTTGCTTGCATAAGTCTAAGATAAGGAATCTTACCATACAGAACAATTTAAAATTAGTAACTGTTTCTAATTCATACATAAACTAACATGTTCACCCTACACTGAATCAAAATTTACCTCTAAGAACAACGTACAGAAAAATTCTGCAAACACAAAGGCAAGACAGACTGCGGCCTCTTCCTACATTCTATGAATCAAAATGCAAAGATCCATCACGTGAACAACACACAAACTTAGGACATGTTGCTGTCACAGGACTGTCCATACACACATACACCATCAACAAACTCTGCCTCTGCCTCCAGTTAACGCCATACTTTCTAACCTCATATGGTTTAAGATGAAGCCAGGTTTCCTTCTTTTAAATTAAGCTTTTAAGTGACAAAATTAACACAACACCCCACTCTGCAACACAGACTGAGCTCTGAACATTAAGAATCTTGTCCGTTGTCCCCAGAGTCCATGGCACATAGGCTCCATCTTTACTCATGAAGTCTGACCATCCCCAGCGTTCTGCAACAGAGAAAAAAAACTTCTTAATATCAACATTATTTCACTTCACATAACCATGGAACTCACAGTACCAGACCTAGGAAAATACTGCATTTGTAGCAGTGCTAGTTTCTATATGACATGATTTTCAACACCTTATTGTTATTATTTTCATGCTTAAAACTTGGACACACTATAGAAGAAAACCATCATCCACTCAGATGTTCAGCTCATCATATTAAGCAAAGTGTCGCCAGATTTCATGAGATATAACATTAATATCATACCAGGCCCAAGGTTCAATAGCAAAGTCCCTCCCAACTGAAAACCATAAGGGGAAAGACTAATACATTAAAACTAAAAGCCATCACAGACAGGTGTAGTGACACACACCGCTAATCCCAACTCTCAGGAGGTATAAGCAGGCAGATCTCTATGAGTTCAAGGCCAGCCTGGTCTCCCTAGCAAGTTCCAGGCCAGCCAAGGGTACATAGTGAGACACTGTCAAAAAAAAAAAAAACCAAAAACAAAATCCTACAATACTAAAAGCATACACAACAAATGGACCATAGCATAGATCCATGTAGCTAGAGTTTTCCTGCCTGGCCCACAGTCAGGACAAATCTCCCTCACCTGCCAGTCCCACAGCCGCTCAGACCCGACCAAGTAAACACAGAGACTTATATTGCTTACAAACTGTATGGTCGTGGCAGGCTTCTTGCTAACTGTTCTTACAGCTTAAATTAATCCATTTCCATTAATCTATACCTTGCCACATGGCTCGTGGCTTACTGGCATCTTCACATGCTGTTTGTCATCGTGGCGGCTGGCAGTGTCTCTCTGACTCAGCCTTCCACTTCCCAGCTTTATTCTCCTCCTTGTCCCGCCTACACTTCCTGCCTAGCCAATGGCCAATCAGTGTTTTATTTATTGACTAATCAGCAACACATTTGACATATAGACCATCCCACAGCAGAACCATGCAAAAATCCAACCGTGAAAAACATGTCCCTATAAGATGGTTCGGCATGTAAAGGTGCTGGATGATCTCAGTTTGATCCCCATGACCCACATAGGGGAAGGAGAGAACCAAAGTTGTCCTCTGACCTCCATATCGTGCCCTTGCACACACATGCTCCGCCACCGTGTATTTGTGTATGTGTACACACACCAATAAACAAATGTAATTTAAAAAGACTATTTCTTTCTCCTACTTCCTATCTCCTATAACGGGAAAGCGTGAAGTAAAATGAAGGAAAGAGTGAATTTCTGGAACAGAGGCAGCCATCAGGCTCTCCATTCTTGAGCAAGTCACTTCGCCTTTCAATTCAGTGACTCGGTGTGATTCTCGGACACCAATTTGTCAGAAATGCAAAGCATGACACCATGCCCACATCTGCTGAATAAGAAGCCTCCCAGGAGAAACCCAACCATCCTGAGCTGTCTGCCGTGACATGCTGGAGTTTGAGATCCACTGTCCTCTCTAACATTGCTACTAATCTAAACTTCACTGAGGGGATTCACTGAGACCTGGCGGACTTTCCCAAGACATTTAACCAAACCTGTAACCATAACTACTTCATTATCCCACTGTAAACCTCAATTTCAACCATCATTTGGAGAGCTATAAGGGGGCTGGAAAGATGACTCGGTGAGCCACGGTTTGATTCCCAGCACCCACATGGTGGCTCACAACCATCCAATGCCCTCAGCTAGCTTCTGCAGGCACCAGGCACAAATGTGGTGCATAGACACACATGCAGGCAAAACACTCATACACATACAAAATAAAATAAAGACAATTCCAAAAATAAATAAAAAAAACCCTGTGTTCTGAGTATGAGTCGGGGGGAAATCAAAGTCTTTTAAAGCAACACTAATGATAAAGCCTTTTCAACTTGTTTGTGCTTACAAATCCTGAAACCATGCAATGTACACTCTTCAAGAACTTTCATTTAAAGCAACTGTAATTAATTAAAAGTAACTGAATTTGAGATAATCTATGAGATATGAGTGACTGTCAGTGATAGTTTATTTCTCTTAGTTTTAAAATAATTTTAAAAACAAATGATACATTTTTGAAATGTCCTAAAAGCCTCCAAAGAGCAAATAAGACATCCCTGTCATTATCTCATGCCTAAATAATCATGTAACTTAAAATGAGTTACAAGGCATTTGGTGGGCTGCAGAGATGGCCCAGTGGTTAAAAGTACTAGCCGCTCTTCCAGAGGACACGGTGTTCAGTTCCCAGCACCCACATGGCTGCTCACAACCATCTCTAACACCGGCTTCAGGGGGTCTGATCAATACCCTCTTCTGAACTCTCTGGGGCACTGCACACATGTGGACATGTGGTATACAGACATAGAAGCAAAAAATCAAAAGTAATTTAAAAACAAGCACTGGTTAGAAAGCAAAGTCTCCAGGAGTCAGACAGTATTGTGTCAGTCAGAGATCATATCTAAAACATGCTTACTTGTCTTAGAAACTGCTTTCCAAGGTATGAGGTAGCCATGCTGGTTAAGTTCTTCTTATTGCCTACTTTACAGCGGATATAACCGTATAGGTTGGCACCTTGCAGCACCACACCCATGATCACCACAGCCTGGGAGAGGGAGAAACAATCAAGTTACCAGCCCAAAACTGACTTTTCTCTATGCCATTAAATGAGACCAGGTAGACTGTGGTGAGAAAAGGAAGTGCTAAAAGTCAGGGGTTGAACCAACGAGACTCCTTAGCCTGCAGAAGGGACCTCACTGACACTACTCTGTAGAAGGCACCAGATCATTCACCAAGCATCGTCATTTTCATTCATATTTGTTTTAGTTACTTTTCTGTTGCTGTGATAAAACACCATGACCAAGAAAACCATGACCATAGTTTATTTCCGCTATGGTTCCAGAGGGTTAGAGTGCATAACGGCAGGGCAGAGGCTCAGGCAGGCATGGCAGCTGTAACATACACTGAGTACTCACATCTTAAACCACAAGCACATGGCAGACAGCAAAGCGGGAGTGAGGCCTTTAAGTGCTCCAAGCCTGCCCAGGGACACACTTCCTCCAGCAAGGTCACAACTCTGAAGCCCTGGCAAACGGCAAACACCGACTGGACACCAAGCATTCAAATGCCTGAAACTGTAGGGACACATCTCATTCAAACCACTATACTATCCATATCCATTCTCATATTCCGTCTCTCTCAAGTCGAGCACACTGAGCAGATCAGGGGTGTCTATGCAGCACACTGATGAGCACCTGTCACTGGTTTATGGAAAGGAGACAAGCTGCTCTCCCATGGCAGCAGGAACACACTGTGCAAAGCTGCTTGGCCCTCGGGACACCCCAGACACCTAGAACTGAGAGAGGAGACTCGTGACCACTCTTTAAACATGATTACAAAAGAATTAACTAACAAGAGGAGGTCCTACAACTAAATACTCTATAAAAATCAACCAACAATTGTGGAAACAACATGATAGTTTAGATCCCATGGGTCATAAATCAAGGTCCGTTTCTCAAGTCTACCACTTTCAGTCTCAGAGCAGTCACAGGCAGCACGCAAACCAACAGACCAAGCTGTGCTTCAAGAGCAGTGTACAAGAACAGACTTGGCTGGGCGGGCCTGAAATCCAGCGGGCCAGCTCTGCTCTACAATCCTACTCTCAACAAGCACATGCAGGAAACACTTACCTCTGTGAAAAACACAACAGCTAGACAGGGTGCTGATCTCCGAATCACACTCTCCTTAACCCGTGACAAGCTGATTGACTGCTTTTAAGTAAGATTGAAATGTTTAACTAAAGGACTGGCTCAAACTCTCGCAAAAGGAGCAAAGGAAGGAGGAGGCACCAAGAGGGAGGCATGTGGGAGACTCTATTAAAGGACAAGACGTATTCCAAGTAAACTATCTTTATGAAACTCATCACTATACAATGAACACAAGCTGTAACTTAAATTAGAAAAAGAAAACAAAAACAGTATGTAAACCTGAAAATAATCAACCAAGTTGGGAAACATTGTACAATGACCTTATTACCTCAAATATTTTAACGAAGTTTTGAAATATCTTTATTAAAATGGAAAAAATGCAGAGTTTAGACTTTCTGCTTTACTCTATGTTCCATGGAAATGCACTGACCATTAGAGATAACTGCCAGATGCCTAAGTAAACATAAAACCTCATGTCTACTTCGGCGGCCTCCAGCAACTTCCCAAAGCACACACTGGGATGTTCCTGGGCATTAAGCATGCATACCAGCATGCCATGGGGCAAGTCCACTTGCAGATGGAGCATGGATCCTGCTGAAGCATCAACTTCAAGTATTAAATATTAAATAAATGAAAACAAAATTTAAAACGTATTACTAAGTTGAGGATGGGCAGTGAAGTCACATATCACAATCTCCCTCCCCTTGAGAAGCAACAGGTAGGGTTTTAAAATTATTATAATTCGGTCTGTGTGTGTGTGTGTGTGTGTGTGTGTGTGTGTGTGTGTGTGTGTGTATGTGTGTGTGTGTGTAGTACATGTACGTACATGTTCACGTGTCTGTGTGTATGTGTGTGTGCACACATGCATGTAAAGACTTATGTATGTCAACGCTGGGTATTTTCTCACTCATTCTACACCTTATTCTAAACAGAGTCTCTCACTGAATCCAGAATTTGCTAAGTTGTCTAGACTGGCTGGGCAATAGGCCCCAGGGATCCTCCGGTCTCTGGCCCCAGTACTGGGATTACAGGTGCACTGCTGCCCCAGCCTTTTATGAGGAAGCTCGAGGCCTGACTCAGGTCCTCAGGCTTGAGCAGCAAGCACTTTCCCACCTGAGCAGATAAGCCAGCAAACACAGAGGAGAGCTGCTGGTCAGGGAAAGGGCCAGTCTAGTGCCACTCTGCAAGAAGCTCCAAGGGAACTAAACGAAAAACTGCCACCTCACAACCCACAGAGAACCCAAGGCCAAAGACATGCATAGCTGTAAGGAAAAATGCAGAAACGCAAGACTGGACTGACTCTCCCAGAGCTGAGACCATGGCAGGACCAGAGGCTCAGACAAGTGTCCACAGCCAACCAGAAGACAGAAATACCACTCCCTGGGAGAAGGCAAGACCCACATAAGCTAGTCAAGGCACTGGGGCCTGGCTGCGCTCCTCCTCACACCTGGGTGTGCAGACCACCAATCACAGCACTCCAACTCAGCCTGGTGGCAGTGAGCCTCAGTAAATGCAGGGAAGGTATCAAGAACAATTCCTTATGGGACAGCAGCACAGACAAGATGGTCTAACAAGAGCTGCCTGTGGAAGCAGCAGTAGCATGGACAGGGAAAAAGGAAAGCCACTCCACAAAACCACAGCAGAAGACAACAAAGCAGCACACTGCCAAAGACAGGGCAGAAGCCACGCCGGAAGACCTGAGGCTGAGAGTCAAGGCCCATGCAGTGAGCTAAGAGCAGGAGATGAGGCTGACAGTCAGGAGGCACACACGTCTCTGCAGCCCTAGTCCACCAAGCTGCCCTTCCACCACTCCTGACATCATCATGGAGCACCCCCAACTCCACTTTTTAGTGCCTGTCAATCACTCCACTAGAACAGAGCTCTGCAGGACAGTTACCTGGCTCATCTAATTGTTCTGTTCAGCTCCCCAAGCAGCTGACAGACTGAGAACTCTTAAAACATTTGCTGATCAAGTAAACAGGAAAAAATGGGAGAGTAGAACAAGCAGAAGACAGTGATGAAAACACATATAAATGACCCGAGACACAGACAAGCAGTGTCTCAGAATTAGACAATCGCAACAACAGAATAATAAATTTAAATTTAAAGGTTTAACAAAAGCTAATTTTCCTGTTAAAGCAAACATAATCTTGCCCAGTGAATGGGCACAGGGTACCAGAAAGGCTGATAGACAATCAATGCAGACGCATCCTGCCTGTAATGCTTTAACACTGGGGGAGACGGAGGAGAGGAGGAGGGAGGGAGGAGAGGGAGAGAGAGAGCATCAAAGAGAAAAAAATGACTCATTATTCACATGGAGGTTAGGTTTTTTTCCTCTTGAAGACTCATTAGCTAAAAACAAGCTGGAGTAACATAATCAAGTCATCCTTCAAGAGAAGTCAGAGACATATTCTTTGGCATAAAAAGTTAAAGGAGAATAAACACACAAATTATTTTTTAAAATTTCACCCCACAGTATAATGCAGCCAACCAAGCAACACAAGAAGCTGAAATAAAATGATGTGTGAATTGATGCACGTAAAAACAGTCAGGAAAGCGCTCGCCAAGCACACATAAGGAGCTGAGTTCAAACCCCATGCGGTGGCACACACCTGCAGTCCGGTGCTGAGAGCTGAGCCTGGTAGAGCCTAGGACTCACTGGCCTGCCGGGCCTACTCAGTGAGCTCCAAGATGCAACCCCAGGTAAAAAACAAAACGGCCACCCGAGGTTGTGCTCTATCTTCCACACGCACATGTACACACACCCATGTGCTACCTTCACACAAACACATGCATACTCACAAGCAGATCAAGACCAAAGAATCAGAAAGTATTTCCAAGGGTAATTATTATCAATCCTATCAAACAAAATAACACAAGAACAAACAAAAACGGAAAAACTACAGGGACACGGGAATGTTTCTTTTCATCCACATCAAGTCTTTAAGTCAGTAAAGACATCTAAGTACAGCATTCAGAGTAATAAAGAAAAGCACTACACCTAAATTAAGGCAACCAACCAAGATCCACAAATGAGATCCATAAATGCTGTCTCCTCTGCCACAGCAGCAAATCCGTAAACACTGAATACATCTCCTTGTGAAAGGTGATTATGACACAAATATACGAAGATGACTACTAAAGAAAAACAAACAGCACTCCCACATCCTAACAGGAAAATATTAGTGTGCACACAAAACCAAGTTTTCACAGCAAAACAGGGGCAGGAGATAGAAAGCCTGAGAAACAGGGATCTAATTAAGGTCACCATACATGAAGCCAGTGTGCATCACGTGCAATAAACTCAATGGTTACAGCGACAAGACTCACAGTTTGGCTCGGTGACAGATTGTATCTTTCAAACACAGCAGCAACTATATTTCTGCTTCATATGCTCTTCCACAACCTCCTACTTCCCAGAAAAGAGATCCCAACTTCCATTCCCTTGAGCATGGTGAGGGACAGCAACAGTGACAGTGAGTTCAACCAGTGATTCAGCCGTGAGCTGGACCACCCCAAGGATGCCATGAGCCAATCACTGTGAGGCCAACACACAGTTGACAGTTGTTCTAAGCTCCTGAGGTCTGGGGTGATTTACTAGTCCAGCAATGAGTAAGCAGAAGAGATTACCAACCACAGTTTCCTTAAAAGACCACAACAACCACTGATACCACGGAAACTGGCAAATGGCTGTGCCCAGGTACTCAAGGGAAAACAGAGTTGGGGACTGGAACTCAGAAACACAAGATGAGGCGGCCCAGTCAGGACAGGTCTAATGCACAGGTCAGATGCTGAACAACGGCAGTCACCCTCGGACTTGGATACTCACCAGCCACTTCACTTTGAAGGAGAAGAGCGCACTGAAGGCAAAGATCACCCACAGGATGGGACAGGCGATGAGGCCTAACCAGAAGATTCTTGACTCAGCCTCAGAAACAGTTTTGTTGTCTTCAGGAGTTGACTACAGAAACAAATAGTACAAAAGCCAATTCAATGACTAATATCAGGTTTATTAATAAAAGGTTCTTTTTAAACAGAAAACACATTGTGCTCAAATTCAAAGATTAATAGAAATGATCCACATCCCAAGTTGGAGCCAAAACCACAAACTAGGGGCTCTACCACCACAACAACCTTAATAAATGAATTATTGTACTTTGCTGCATGTTTGCAGCAGAACAGGAAGACAAGGCCTGTTTACTCATGAGAAAGCTTCGCGTGAACCTTTCTAGGTAAGAGTTAAGGAAATCAAAGAGTCATCTAGGAGATTTCACGTCTCAGCAAAACCCAGGAATTGACAACGGTGTTGAGTTGTTTCCATGGCAGATTTGATGTCAGAACACAAGCTCACTGGGCACAGTGCTGCTTTCTGATAAGTATTACTCAGAAAGGCTCTTCCAGCAGAGGGCAAGTAATTTAACTCGTAGTGCTGCCAAGATTTTATCCTCTGTCTTCCAAAAAATTTCCACAAGGAAATGGAATGTTCACTATTAGGAAGAAGGGTGATCCAAAACAAACAGGCTCTCTCCACGGTTCCTGAGGTCACCCGCTTAAAGAACAGACCGATCATTCGGACCCTGTACCCAGCTGCCATCTTCCCGACAAATAGGAAATGACAATGGGAACAAAGACAGACAAAGGTACGGAGGTGTCTGCTGAACACAGAAGGATCCAAGATGACGGCCAGCAAGGCAACAAAGTCGGAGATCACCCGGAAGGCTCTCATCAGCAGGCACCCGGCAGCTTAGCTTGCCCTGCTCCTAGGTTTCTGGCCTGTGCATGTCTGCTGCTAGGCAGAAGCAGTAGAAGCATTATGCTTTGGAAGCTGTCTGACTTAGTACTAACAGGGCAAGAGATCTGCAGTAGTGCTGTCAACCTTGACTCCTCCTTCAGTACTCAAAAGAACCTGCACAGTCTTTATCAGTTTACCTTTCTGGACTCAAACACCCAGTGGCTCTTCCCATCCTCATCAATATGATTCCACCAACGTAGGCCAACCATTAGTCTACCAGTGACATTCTGGGAAAGATTAACATGAACACACATTTTTAAGCATTATTTAAAGCATTATAAATCCCATCTTAGTGTACTATTTCACAAAATTCTCCAGCTTTCCCCTAGGACAGCCAGTTAACCCCTATGTACCAGTCCCAGCTAAAGACTAAACAAAGTGGCCATGCCAAGGCCGGGATGCATGGCGCTTACAGGATAAGCACCAGGCACACCCAGAAGCCCTATCCTTTCTTCTCCCCAAGATGGAGCACCTGTCCTTCCTCTCAATCTCTAACTCCTTCCTAGGTCTTCCCTTCCTTCTTCCTATTTTTAATTTTTAAGATGGGGTCGGTCTTAGTTAGGGTTACTATTGTTGTGATGAAACACCATGACCAAAGCAACTTGAGGAGGAAAGGGTTTATTCAGCTTACACTTCCACATCACAGTTCATCATCTAAGGAAGTCAGGGCAGGAACCTGGAGGCAGGAGCTGACGCAGATGGGTACTGCTTACTGGCTTGCTCCTCATGACTTGCTCAGCCTGCTTTCTTAGAGAACCCAGGACCACTAGACCAGGGAAGGCATCACACATAATGGGCTGGGCCCTCACTGATAAACTACTAATTAAGAAAATGTCCATAGGCTTGCCTACAGACCAATATTTTAGAAGTATTTTCCCAACTGAGGCTTCCTCCTCTCTGACGACTTTATCTTGTGTCAAGTTGACATAAAACTAGCCAGTACAGGGTATCATATCATAGCTCTCGATGACCTAGAACTTACTATGTAGATCAGTCTGGCCTTGAGTTTGTGATCCTTCTGCTCCTGCCTCCCAAGTGCTAAGATTACAGGTATTTAATACCACACTCATCCCAAGACCCGATTGCTTCTAATCTTACACTGCCAAGTTTCTTTGTTGTGGACTATTATTTTAACTATGTAAAGGTGTGTTGCATTTGTTTAACTATGTAAAGATGTGTTACATTGTTTATGCTGCATTTGTTTAATGATGTAAAGATGTGTAGTCTTGCCTGCCTAAGGCACCTGACTGGTCTAATAAAAAGCTGACTGGCCAAAAGCTAGACAGTAGAGGGATCGGTGGGGCTGGTGGGCAGAGAGAATAAGTAGGAGGAGAGAGAACGAGGGAGAAAGAGAGAAAGACACCACCAGCCAGACACGGAGTAAGCAGGGAGGTAGAACATACAGAAGGAAAGAAAAGTAAAAGGCCCTGAGGCAAAACGTAGATGAAGAGAAAAGGGTTAATATAAGTTTAAAAAGCTAGCCAGAAACAAGCCTAAGCTAAGGCTGAGCATTCATAACTAATAATATGTCTCCATGTCATGATTTGGGAGCCTGCTACAATTCTTTGTGTTTAAATTGGTCTGATGCTATCTCTGCTACTTTTATTTTATCTAATGTCACTGTTTCAGTTTCACCTTTTCGGTCAAAATTTCTTTTGACCCAATCTCAGAATTCGTATCTTTAGAATGGGATTTTAACTAATATTTATTTCCTTAAAAGTACAATATTTACTACTGAAATAAATGTGCCCTTACTTCCAATCCCACCTGGAAGCATCAAAAATGCTTCAGATATTGAAAAATGTCCACAACTAATAAACACAAACAAACAAAAAAACAACTTTTTGGGTGAGGATGGTGCACACCTTTAATTCCAGAGCTCGGGAGGCAGAGGCAGGTAGATCTCTTGAGTTCAGACCAGACTGGTCTACAGAGTGAGATCCAGGACAGCCAGAGCGCAGAGGAAAAAAAAAACAAAACAAACAAACAACAACAAAAACACCAGAAAAACAAACTTGCCCCTGGTTGAGAAAGATTAATCCCAAATACCCTGTGGTTTTTGAAAAAAAAAAAAAAAAAAAAAAAGACACTTCCTGAACATTTGTAAACGAACTATATTGGAACTTTACATAGAAATTACACCCAGACTATTCATAAATGACACTGGAATAAAATATGTAGATTTTATGGCTTCCAGTGATATTTTGCAGCTTGGCACATGGCACCACTACTGAGCAGTGTTCATGTGATCAAATACACCGCACTTTAACACAGGGCAGGCCCAAAGTGACAGATAAATTAACACCATTCCAAAATGCTGTCCTGGTTCTTTCAATTTATTCATTACTTGAATTCATATTAAATACAATTTTAAAATAAAAACAATAGAGCCTACCTTCACTGCCCAAAAGTCACATGACAGCAACAAGATAATCGTCACCATACAGGCAATGAAGCTGGTGCTGAGCAGCTCACAGAGGAGGTAGACAACAACCGCACTGACTCGGAAGAACAGATGGAAGAAGGATGCCACGGGGTGTCTGAAAATCAAGACACCGTGAAGAGCATCACATTTTACCGCGAGAGCCAGCAGACCCAGAACCATGAAACAAGGAGTGTCCGGGAAGGAGAAAGCAAACAGCTTACCTCTTTCTTAAGTTCCCACCATTTAGCTAGGTTCTATTGTCACAAGAAAATATATTACATGAGCTGACTCTGATACCTCATTGAGCATAAACTTTCAAAGCACCTAACCAGAGCCATACCAGCTTAGATTATCTAATCATATCACAAGAGCCCCAGACTGAGAAATCGCTTCCAGCATTAAGTCAAAGTCACCATAGGGAGTTTTGTCTCTTCCTTTCCTCCTCCTCCTCCTCCTCCTCCTTCCTTTTTCCCTCCTCCTTTTTTAAGATAGGGTCTCACTAGGTAGCTCAGGCTGCCCTCAAATTCATAATCTTCCAGTCCTCACCTCTGAGATTACATGCATGCATATCATATATGTACGTATGCTTTTCGTAAAACAGCTTTATTGACATGTGATTCAAATATCACATAATTTTTCTACAAATTAACATTTTTTAATATAGTGACCATCACCACAATCAATTTTACAACATTTTATTACTTCAAAAAGCAAGTCTATACCCACTGGCAATCACCCCTCTTTTGTTCCCAACCCTTTCAGCCCCAAGCAAACAATCATCTTTCTGTCTCTGTAGATTTACTCGTTATGGACATTCTGTGTAAGTAAAATCACACAATACTTTGTCTCCTGTGGACAGCACCTTTCACTTAGCACAGTGTTTTCACGGTTCAAGTAGAATTTTACTTTATTAAGTGAATTTCTTTAGAGAATATATTGAAAAGTACATTTAATTTTATTACTTATATAAGATATAATTCTGAAATTTACAAACGAAATCAAAATATATCTACAGAAATTATAGTTTCCTTGGTTTTTGTGATTTTTGTCTTTTTTTTTTTTTTAACTGAGAACTGAACCCAGGGCTTTAAGTTCTACCATTGAGCTAAACCCCACCCCTATAGAAAAGGTGCATTCTCATAAAACAGCAGTCAGCACAGACTTTAAACCATCAGTGCTCAAATAACTCATTTTTCAAGTTGGCTAATTTGAAAGCTCAGTGATGAACAAAATTCTACATACCAACTACTCCTAACAAAGTTTCAAGTTACCTCTGTCTCATACTACATCAAAGCAACAACATTTAACTCACAAGCACACCTAACCCTTGGATACCCCCATGGCTCCTTTTGAAGACCAACTCCCAAGATGGCATACTGGTGTGGAGGTGCTGGAAACCTTAGGAAGTGGGCCTATCTACATGGAGTGGGTCACTTAGCGCAGGTTATGGTTCTGTTTCCAGTCTGCCATGAGGTGAGCAGTGTTTCTCCACTACTCCCTTGAGTTAAAATGTCCTGCATCACCATGGGCCCAGAAGCAGAGCCAAACAAAAACAGTGCCTATACACTGAAACCTCCAAATACACTTAACATAAAGGTTTTTTTTTCCTCTTCGGTTTTGTCAGATGTTTTCTCACATCAAAAAGTGGGACACAGAGCTGGGTGTGGTAGCACACACCTTTAATCCTCACACTAGGAAGGAAGAGGCAGGCACATCTCTGAGCCCAGGTAAGCACAGCCAAGACTACATGGTGAGTCTGTGTCAAAAAAAACAACCAAAACAAACAAAAAAGTCAACACAAATCCCATTGGCTGACACCAATAGTGCAGAGAACAGATAGACAGAAACACAACTCTAATTCAACCTTGTACCTGATTTTGGATTTCTTTGGTCTATTGGTTGTCTCCTCTTCTGCATCAAACAGTGAGACATCTTCAGTGTCGTCATTACTGTCCTGTTAGGAAATTAAATATCTATGATAAAAATGAAATTCAGTCCTTATATGCCTACTACATACAAAGCTACACAATCCTCAAAATGGAAGGTGAAATCATGAGTTACAACTACCAGGGATTCACAGCTTAGGAAAAGAGGCACCTGCAGATCCGCCCCAAAACTCCAATCACCTGAAAACAATCAACTCTCCATGACAATCTGATGATCAGCCAAGATCAGCCAACATCAGCCCGAGCCCTGACAAACACCAGGGAGCAGATGAAGCTCCTAAAAGCTGATGTCTATCATAAGCTACTCTCTCAAGTCACCGAGAAAACGGAAGTTATTGGGGGAGAAACTCAGAAAACCACATGACTGCAGCCTGTTTCCTTGACTCCTCACAATGCTTTCTCTTCTTATCTGAGGCTAAACTATCACGCCTCTAGGACTTGTTCCATTATTTTCTTCCTATTCTTTCCTTCAATTCAGTCTTTCTAATCAATATATAAAATCCTTCACACCAGAGTGATGATCCTGGAAGATGAATAAAGCACACCTCAACAACTGAAGAATGCTGCTCATAAGATGAAAACTAACGACCACTGGGTTCTTCTGTGAACTCCTGAGACACACAACAGCGGGGAAGTGGGGAGAACTACCAACCAGAACTGATGAAACAGAACTAAAACACAAGTGTGCACAATGTTTCAGGAACAGTGAATGGGGAGACACCAGAGGTGTCATGTGGGGAGTCTTCACTCTTTTCAGATAATAGAAATTACAAGTGTGGCCCGTTGTGCCTGTAATCCCAGCACTTGGAAGGCTGAATCAAGATGACTATCATCAGTTGGAGAAGGGTGAAGGAAAAAAAAAAATAGGAGAAACTAAAGCATGTCTTTGTGCTAACACGAACAAGCTTTTCCAAAAGAAAAAAAAGGTGGGAGGGGGGAAGGCCATCAGTAGTGCGACAACTGCTGAACACTGCCCAGGAAGCAAAGGTGAAGCCAGTGCCTTGGCTGCAACTCAATAGTGGAGTACCAGAGAATCCCCGAAAGAGCGCGTGGGTGACCATGAGCGAAGATGCAGACAGGAAGAGGAGTCGTAGGAAAACCCCTTGGGTGGGCTGCATCTCAGTGAAACGGGCGGCAAGACTGCCAGACCAAAAAAGAAAAAAGACAAGGGAATAAACGTTTAAAGCTGCAGAAAAGTTTTAATGCAAAGGTTGCCTGGGGAAGGGAAGGCAGGGACTACCAAAATGTCAAACGCCTAGCAGGTGGAAGAGTGGATCCAAGGTTCATGGTCACAGACTTACAAGGACATGGTTGTCTTTCCCCAGCTCCCTTCAATCCGGGGGCACCTTCAGAGAGCTGAGTTGAAACCACCAACGGGTTTTCTCCACATTTCCCCACAGCAGACTTTTCTGATCACAAATTCTAGTTGTCTCATCCTGAGACACTTGGCATGTCACTACCATGTCTTTGCTATTACGTTCCAAAAATATGTTGTTCCCCAACCGAACCTCTCCCCTTCCCACGCCCGTTGTGGACCCCAACACCACAACCCCAACCTCACAATGAGGGGCAAGAAACCTGTCTATGTTATTCACTCTTATTCTGGACCTGGAGCATTTGCCTGAGCCATGGTAATCCCGCAGGAAATTACTTGTAAAAACAAAAAGAGAAATACATAATCTAAATGGGAGCTCACAGTAAATTTTTAAAGGAAGGAAATGCTATATATTACGTTTACTAATCTCTAGCCGAAAGCCAACTGGCTACAAGCGATCCCTACAGGCACAAACGTGATAGCCATCGTGACTATCAGTGTAACAGCGTGCTAACATCTACTGGAAACCAGGGCTCTGGTACTCTCCTCTCCCTACAGGACCGCCCTGCACTTGGGTGTCCAGGCAAGAGAGCTGACGACGCCTGCAGGCCGCTCCCCTCCTCCGGGTGGGCTGCGGCGAGCAGGGTTACCCTGACATCACACACCCAGAGCTTCCTGCAGCCAGGGCTCCACGGCCGCTGGTGACCCGCCTCTACACAGCATCCCCAGCTCTGCGCCTCCTGGGTCCCTGGTCCACCCGACCCTCGAGCGACCACTGGCCCGGGCCGCTGCACTTCTGCCCACCCAGCCTGCCCTTCCTCCAGCTCAGGCAGTGGGCAGACACCGGACACAACAGCTTCGGGGACTGGGCGAGACCCCCGGCCCCAATTCAAGCGATCGCACCCGCTCCCGGAACCCGGCCGCCCTCCCTCACCTGCGACAACATGACGGCCTTGCGCCAAATCCTCCCCCCCCCCAACCCCACTTCCGGGAGCCACGTCAACACAGCTGCTACCCGGTCCGGTGTCAAACTGACGCGGGTTGGTCGCCACAGGCCGAGAAGCAACCTACAGGGCCAACCGGAAGCCACTTGCCGGCAACACTTCCTTTTCGGTGAGGCTCGTGGGAGGGAGCGTCTCCCTGGACCGGAAGAGCGGTAGGCGGGTCCATGCCACACAGAGGGCAGGGCCACGTCCTGGGAGGGGCGGGGAAAGCGGGGTCAAAGTGCGGACGTGGGCAGGAGGAGGCGGGGCGTGTGGGCGGAGCCATACCGCAGAGGCTCTGTCGGGAGCCGGGCAGAGGTGGGCGGGGCAAGCGTGGGCAGGGCAAGGGCGGCACCTCTAAGAAGCAAAACGCCTGGGAATGAGTTGTCTAACTCAGTAGGTTCTGAAGGGAGGCTTCTTGAGTTATGAAGGAAAAAATGGCCTTTGCCACTTGTAAAGTACAAACTGTGAGTCATCAGCAACAGCGTGGATGCTCTGAAAAAGGCGGGGCTTTATTCTACAACTTAACTTTGGAAATGTGTTTCTGTATGGTCTTACTTTTGCGTTTTACATTTTAGGAATACTTAAGAAATAAATGTGTCCCTGGGAAGGAGTTAAAAAAAAAAAAAGAGTAAGTAAAAGGCCAGAGGACTAACTAAGCAGTGAGTGTAGTGCTGTAAAGGCAGAGGCTGGTCCCGTGCGCCCTAGGACTCAGGCGCTTGGGTTTCCGCGTCTGCCCCCATGTGTCGATTATATAACCAATCTCTGTGTACATCTTTCCTCAGTTGTAAAATGGGAAGGATAGTGATGGCTTTCCAGAGCAGTTAATAAAGTGGCAGGTGTTGTTTTTATTACTGTTTTAAGTCACCTGGTGATGGGGTGATCCTGCCTAGATCTAAAATTCAGAGAATTTAAAGCCATCTTTGAAACTGTAAAGATAGCAGTATTCTATTTGTCAGACGGTTGGAAGATATTCACTGAAACCCAGATTTTATCTGGCTCTTTGCCAGCACCATTTCAAACCTACCGTCAGAATAGTGAGGAAACAGCAACATAATTCCCCAAGCAGAGAAAGCTTGCTGGACAGATGACCTATGTTCTAAACCTCTTGGAGCATGTTTTGGGTGGTCCACCCTGTATTGTGGGGTTGTGTGGAGTTTTATCTTTTGGTCGTTTTCACTTTTTATATGAATGCAATTTGAATTCGTTACCCCGTATTTTTTAAATTTAGAACATTTGACAGGAAAGTGAATTTCTGACCTGTTTGGGGGGGGGGGACTTTTTTTTTCCTTTTTGGAGGATGGGGTGGGGAGGTGTTTACTTGCTTTTGAAACAGCGTGTTGCCTCATAGTACCAACTGACTTAGGTGCTCAGACCTCCTGCCTTAGCCCCCCAAGAGCTGGGTCTTAATGAAGGAGAAAGTCTGACTGGCTCTGTGTAGGGACTACACTCTTTATATAGGTCCTGAGGCTGCCAGTGAGCTATATCCCTGCTGGTGAGCTACTCTTCAAAATTACCTATTTTGTACCTGACACCACCCCCTAAGTATTTAAATAGGAGCCTCAATATACTTGATAGTAGTGGCTCTTTTTGTATCAAATATGAATATGCTTCATTTTCATCGGATGAAGTTTGTTCTGACCAGTAAAATCAAATACAGTGTTCTAAATACAAGTCAACCTTTTGCGCTCCCCACCCTCTTTACCAGAACTGAGCTTCATTCTATGCAAAAATACCAGGGAATTTCTTTATATTATCCTGATATTCACTTAAAAGTTTCTGGAAGCGATGATGATCCTAAATCGGTAGTGATGAATGGCATCTACCTGCCAATGATGACCTCCTCACACAGACACCCACCAGTGAGCTTGCCTTCATCTCACTAAGTGGAAGGTAGATGGCACTCTCTCCCTATCTCCTCTTGTCTTAGTGCAATCTATGTTCTCTTTGATTCCTAGAAAGGTTCGTGTGAATTGCCAAAGAAATCTAAAAAAAAAAAAAAAAGACAAAAGAAAAGAAAGGTCCAGACACCAACGCTCACTTGGTTTTCTGTTTGTTGTAATGGTGCTATAATTTCCCAAGCCTGGTTAGATAAACACATTTTGTCCAAGTTCGGGAACCGCTGTTTTCCCTTGCTTCATGAAATTATCAATAGGCAGGCCTTTGATCTTACGAATCCACGCAGCTTTGCTGGCTTTACCTGGGTCGACTGCTTTAGTGGATTCACTAGCTTGATATTCCTTCATCTTGGCTTCTCCATATTCTTTCTCCTCCTTCACAGTCAACAGCATGAACCCGGTGTTCATTCTAAGAGGATCCAGGGTTGTGTAGAAACGTGGCCGTTCTTTCTTGAGAGACAGGGTGGCTGTGCCACCCCGAGGAGCGAGCATTCGGTTTGGTTTAATGACCTGCATGCTGGTCAGGGGGCCAACACGGCGTTTTGCCCCATCAATTGAACTGGTCAAGTGCTCCTCGCCCCTTGGGCTATCAGAGACTCTGGAATGGATAAGTCTGGGCTCGGGTATGGTGGACTGGACTCTGGGACTATGTAAGGATTTTTTCAAGTTGGGCTGCAGTTTCTGAATTTCAAGGGGAATATTGGTTTGTTTCACATCAGTGGAAAGGTTGCTGGATCGCAGCTGATCAACTGCATGTTGAGCTGATTTTCCTTTGAAACTTAGGACTTTCCTTGGATATGGAATGGAAGGCCCCCAGGCATCAATGACTGGAGTTCGGGGCCTGTGAGGATAAGCAAACTCTTCAGAATTGTGGGCTTGTTGCAGAGAATTGACAGTCAGAAGGAATCGGTCAGGTGTCATAGGGACTTTCCAGAACTTTTTCTTTGGATGACTGATTTGATCTCCAGGACTTGACCCATCATCTGCTTCTTCAAAAAGAAAACAAAGGCACATCAGCATTCCATGGAAAATAGAGACTATCTATACAGAAAAGCCGAAGCCGTTCTAACTGCTAGGCACACTGAGGTTTTGTTGCCCAAAAGGCATGCCAACAAACATGCCAGGTGACATCAGAAATGACGGCAGCAGAAAGGGCTTGTTTCTAATGACTATACTAATATTTGTGTAGGGTGTCATATTTTGAAGACAGCCTATGTAATTCTAATGTTCCACACATGTTCAAAAATTCCTGTGAGAATGACTCTCGCATCTCATTCATGACTCCCATAAAATAGGTCTTGCAGATTTATAGCATACCTCCATTGTCATCAATAATCATACTGCAAAGATCAATTCTCATTTAATTAACCAGCTTCAGTTATGTTTCCCAGAATCAGGCCTAGATTCTAAGAATGTCACTCCTACCTAATGCAATGTATCATAGCATGGCTAAAACTAGATTTCTAAAGAGGAGTCGCCAAAATGTTCTGACCAATAGTTATGAATTGGAAATGTTCACCAGAACGACAGAATCCTTTCTACAAACCACTTTATAGTTGAGGTATCTAAGACCATCCAGTTAACAAAGATGTCCTCTTGGATCGATTTAGATCTCTGTCTTTTTTTTTTTTCTTAAACATTTGGGGTTTTTTTTTTTGTTTTTAAAGATGTATTTATTAATTTTATGTATATGAGTGCCCTATGACTTTATGCTAAAAGAGGGCATCAGATTGCACTAGAGATGATAGTGAGCCATTATGTGGTTGCTGGGAATTGAACTCCGGACCTCTGGAAGAGCAGCCAGTGCTCTTAACTAATGAGTCATCTCTCCAGCCCCTAGATCTCTTATATCATTCTCATTTTGCCTTTTTTCAGTCCCTTCAGAAAAACAAGGTCCTTGTTTTCAAAAATAACTGAGTCAAGAAAAGGAGAAATCAGTTACCTGTCTGAAGCTTATCAACAATCCAAAGTTCTGCCATGAAAGGAACAGCAACCAGGTATTATGCATATAATTTCCTTTGGCCATTGGGTGGTGTCCCAAAAGGGACAGATGAGGGTAGTGTGAAACTCCAAGTGTTCCTGATATTTGCTTTGCTAATTAAACAGTGTTTTATAAAAACATAAAACACTGGGATAATTCGGTTGTCAGAATCTTCCCTTCTCCTTCCAAATTCAGGAAACATGGAATTTTTTTTTCTTTTTCATTATTCTGGGGATTTTGTTGTGGTAGGGTTTTCTGATTGTTGTTTTGGTATGGTAATATATCTTTAGATCTGCAATTTGATACACATACAGATCTTCATGGTATGAATCTTGGCTGTTATATAATATCAATAGTGATAGGTTGGGTTTACTATTTACCATTGTCTACTCTGATGGACATTTTATTTGTTAATAATGAACCTTAAGGAAATGCAAATACCATTTTTATTCATCACATAAACAGGAATGAGGAGATAGGCAATGCCCAGAGCTGGCTTACATGTGGTGAGGGCACTTACAGTGTTAATGGGAGTATAAATTGATTCTGCAGGGTTTTTTTTTTTTAAGTTCAACCAGACAATAACTCTCCAGTTTTTAAGTGCATTTGCCCTTTAGCTCAGCAGTTTTATTCCTAGGACTCCACTCTGTAGGTACAACTGTATGTATGCACAAATGTAAGATGCCCATGTTTAGGGTAGACCATTAAATCTTAATCGTTTGACTCACTTTGAAACCAGTCTGTGTGGGGATTTTTTTCAAAGGAACATTACTACTATCAAAAAATTAGAAAAAAAACATTTGAAAAGTTTGCCAATGCCTTTCAAAACCATCAGAGGCATCCCAGCCATGATATCTAAAAGTACTTCTTAAAATCTCATTCCTATCTCTCCCTCATCTGCTTGTCTCACACACATCACCCATACACACTCATCCCCCCCCCACACACACACACCTCTCCACACACACTCCAATCTCTCTCCTCTCTCAAGAATCCCCTCCAACCAGCCTGACCCCCTCTTCCTTCTTCTGATGTGCCCATTAATCCAAATGACAATGAAAGAGGAGGCCATTTGGGAGGCAGAGACAAGAAACAGGTGAGGCGCTTAGAAAGCCTTCCACTCCATAGCCTTGAGTTAGTAAAGAGACAAGAAACCGATCCCTCTCAGTAGGAACCAGTGGGAAGCCAGTTCTTCTTTG